TGTGTTTTTTACTGTAAAAGTTTGAGGGATCTGCTTGCAGTATCTGCTCAAGCCAGAAAATGAAATATTAGGTAGGACACTAGGTAAGACACTTTTTGTCTAATTCTCTGCAATAGATATGGTCCTCCCTATGTTCCTGCCTGTCACAGCATTGATTGTGGTAGTTTTGCCTTAGTCTGAAAAAGAGAGGATTTGTTTAAAAAGACGTTTTAAGAAAGGGAGATTCTATTTACAGGCACTTTAGTGGGTAAAGTATAGCTGACTTGGGTGTGATCAGGATTTTTACTTCTTTCTGCTCTCTGTTTTGTGAGGAGCAGCAAAGTCTGTCTGCCTCTCACCAAGCCTCTGTTTTGGTTAAATATGTGCTTTTCCGGCTAGTATCTTAACTACCCCTATCTTTGGTTTGGCTCTTCCCTTTCCCAGATGCCTTGAGCAAATGAATAACAGAAACAATCAGTGGAATTATTCAGGTACGCATTCTCTCTACCACTTTCCTGGTGATGGCAGTTTCATAGAAATTAATTCCAGTAAGGGCCATTAGATCATGTGGTCTTACTCCTCTGTATTTCTGTATTCTTTCCTGCTTTAGAATATCCAAGGCTAGGACTTCTAGTTGAAGTAACAGAGAGGCAATTGATGTCCAGTGGAGAGCGGGTTTTATTGTTCTGTGCTTTTGTATACATGCATCTGAAATTTATCTGCGAGTTCTCAAGAAATTACTCAGTTTTTGGCAGTAGCTAGACCTTCAGTAAGCAAAATTGTAAATACATGTTATTTTCAAAACTCTAATGTGTATTTTCCGATTTACAGATAAGAAGCAGGATAGAAATTGTAGCCTTTTGCAGCTTGTTAGACTGTTTCACCACGGGAAAGAAAATAAGGGAAATAAAGTCGTGCTTACAGAATTACAAATGCTTTAGCTGTTTTAAGAGTGTTCCCTTTAAGTTTGATTTAAAAAAGAAGAAAGATTTTTAACAGTGGTCATTGCCATAGAAGTAAGCCATTTGTATCTTGTCACACAACTATAGACCACAATTAACCGTCTAATCCTGTAAAAGGAAAGATGCCATTTAAAACCTCTGTTTGAATCCAAGCCCCGTCCCCTCTTAACTGAGAGCTGCACAAGCCACGGCCAAGTGTCTCTCCCCCGTCCCCTCATGGCTGAGGCTGAGAAGCTCCTGCCGCACGCGGCTGATGGAGTTGCTCCGCTGGTCCAAGTAGAAAAGATCTCTGTGGTGACCAGCCCTGTCCATGACCCAGGTGAAGGAAGGCTTAAAAATCCAGTCAGATTTCTCCTTCTCCGCCATCTTCTTAAAAACAAAAGACGCCCCAAACAGGTCCTAGGAAATTCCACGGGGAAGTCCCTGTCTAAACGAGCGCTGTGGTTGATGCCAAGTCCAGAGCCAGAAAGCCCCGAAACGCCAGCACGAAATTCAGGCCGCGCTCCCCTTCCTCCGGGGTCTCTTCCATCCGTGACGCGTTTGTGAACGGCAGCGTGGACTGCAGGGTGGCGGAGAGCGGTTTGATGGGCCGGCGTTCACCAGACCTGGGCCGCGCTCCTGTCCCTGCGTGCCCAAGTGTCCGCTGATGCTGTGTTCCGAATTCCTCGGCTGAGCGATAACCGGAACGATTTGCCCAGGTTCTGGGGACTCGATTGGATCTGAAGTCGGTGAGAAATTCGGGAACAGAACCCCTCTGAAAAACTGGATACCAGGTTTCTCAATATGTGAAGCACCCAAACTGAGTGGATGCTTTTGAATGTTTGGTCCATAATTTCTGTGCCTTAGTTGTCATTTTTACAGATTAGCATAACAGTGCCTCCTTACTGCTCAGGAAGTGCCTTGAATTAATTTTGTGAGGCATTCAGATGTCATGGTGCTGGACAATGATGTCATGATGAGTGATGTACAGTATTTCACGCTCAGCGTAGCATTTTGGTACTGTACCATACATGAAGGTGTGGGAGACTCTAAAGGCTGAGGATAAAAAAGAAATATTGAACTAGATGCCTCGTTCACTGTCCTCTGTGCAATTTGTGCAGCGAGCGAGGCAGGGCTGTGCTGTGGAAGAGCTAGTATGCAGTAGTGCAACATAAATAGGGGCCTACCAGACTCGCGGGGAGAGAGCAATTTCCACAGCTCGGTCGTGGCCCGAAGAGCTGAGTTTTTTACTAGCCTTTTGTGGCGGCAGCCCCACCCCTCAGTGCTGATTGACAGGGAAGCCCCGCCCCTCAGTGCTGATTGGCAGGGAGGCCCTGGGAGGAGGAGGAGGAGGAATGAGGGGGCGGCCACCATCTTGACTGCTGGCTGCCCTTGGCACAGCCCCGCCCCTTGGTGCTGATTGGCAGAGAGGGAGGTGGGGGCTGCTGCCCTTTGTGCGCCCCACCCGCTGGCCGGTGCCTCCCCCTCCCAGGCAGGCTGCAAGGCCAGGCCGCCGCAGCAGCAGCAGCAGCAAGGACCACTGGTGCCCCTGGGGAGACACCACTCTATTTGTATTAAGTTGTTGTTTTGTTTTTTGGGAGGGATGGGGGGGTTGGTTGATCTTCTGGGACATCACAGCCAGTGCCATTTTTTACAGAGAACGCTGTTTTTCATGGCTTCCACAAAAATTGCGAAACTGCGATTTTTTTTTTTTTTAAGTAGGTTCCTAACATAAATCATCAGCACAAGGAGCAGATGAATTCTGGTATTTTTCTAACTTTGGGCACTTGGTTTGGCCAACAGAACTGTCTGCTAACAGAACAAAAGTGTTCTTGGCTCTGTAGAAAACACAGATCTGGTTTGTGCCTGTAGAAACTTGTCGTTTTAAATAGGTGATTGCAGGGCCTAAAGTGACAGTATTTTCAGTAAATGGGTGGAAAGGAAGGAGTGTACGGTGTTGTCTAAAACGTTTTAATAGAGGACCTTGGCAAAAATTCATTTTTTGTTGCACCGCTGATGAAAGGTCCCTTTCAAGCTGTTAACTTATTGGTGAGAATCAAGATTGTCCTGGGTGCTCTGGTGACTGTCTGTATAAAGCAGATTTTTTTTATTCTGGTTGAGAACAGAATTTGAATGAGCAGTTGGTTTCAATTTGTGGTGCAGGTAAACATGAAGTGTCATTATAAATTGTAACCTATCCATGGTGAACAGTTCATCCCTGTTTTATCGCAGCACTGAATTACTGTAAGTGTATTGCTGCGGCGCAGAGAGGCCCCAGATGAGATGACGGCTCTGCTGTACATGCTGGTAGCCTTTTTCTGAGCAGCACCAGAACAAGCATGTGAAGGGTGCCGAAGGCTTGTTAGAACTGAAACTTCAGCACGTTGACTTCGTTGCATAGGTTAATATTAGAACTGTTCGAGAAGAAGTTTTTCATCTACATACATTTATGATAAAACATGAAACTTCTGCATCTTCACTATTCAGCTAGACTGATAAATCTCTGATTCTTTTTTAAAATAAAATGTAGTCCCACATTTACGAACACTGAGAGAAGTGTAAATTTAAATTCCATGTTTCCGTGAAATCCCTGTAATCTTGCTTGTATGGTCGATTATTTTTTTTAAAGTGCCTTGCAAATCTGTTTTATATTTTTAATATAATTTATTGACTTGATACACTAATCAAGTACTTACACAGGTGACAACGTATTAAAGTGCGTGTTGAGCCAATTTAAATATTATGTTCTGAATAGCAGACCAAGCTTTCTGTGTTGAAAATCATCTGCTGGTTAAGCATGCTAATTAATATGGGTACCCAGTTGCAGGTCACATCTTTGCCCTCCCTTTGCTCTGGAAGTGGGGAGTGGGGTGAGCGTCTCGTGGTCTTTCGGAGTAGTCTGTCAGAGCCCAGGATCGTTGGCCGTCTTGTTCCTGTTTGTGTTTTGCCAGGGATTGTAAATGCCCGTTTTGCGTGAGAATCTTCCTGCTCTGCCCCCATCTTTGTTGCCTCCGAGCAGGATTGAAGCGGTGTGCGCTATTTGGATTGCCCCTTAGATGGGTGATTCTCAACAAGGGTGCCATGGCATCCTGAGGTTCCTTGAGATCCTTTCACGGGTGCTGTGGGGTGCCACGCAATTTAGCACTGTTAGGTTTACAAACATGATTTACAAGATAAACCAAGACATTTCAAATAGAAATCCATAGTTGTGGCCTTCCTGAGCTCATTGCTGTAGGGAAAAAAACATTATTTTCCTGCAGGCAAAAAAAGGAGTGAAAAGTAAGACCTGGCATTTTCCAAGGGGTGCCTCGAGCCCCAAAAGGTTGAGAACCACTACCTTAGATCCATATGGAAACAAACTAAATGGTGCCTCATGGTGACACCATATGTTATCAGTGCTCTGGGGGGGGTTGGGGGTTTTGTGTTTTTTGCACTGCCTGCTCCTGGTTTTGATCTATAAATCTGTGAGCAGCTTGGCTTCCTGGCCACTGTTGTGCTTTGCACATGGCCTTGATTTTGATCTCCCTGTCGAGGGAAGGGGCAGACCGCCTCTGGAGAATACATCTGCCCACCGATGAGGATGCTGCAAGGCCTGTCTCAGGAGGCGTTAGCAGAGTGCTCAGGTAGGTGAGAATAGGATGTGTATATTGGGGAACTGCCAAAGGTCTCCTGGGTTTTAAAGCTGCATCAGTCCCATAATTCATGGTCAAATGATATGTGATAAAGCAGGAGCAAGAAATATAGCAGTTTTGGTCAGTTCTTACTTTGTATCTCCTTTGTTCTTGGTTTTTGTATGTTAGTCGTGAGTCCTGGCAGCCCTGGATAGACACCCTTGCATGTGTACCTTGTGTAAAACCTGAATCTAGACAAATGATAAGTTATGAAGCTTATTTTCTGTATTGACTTGAGAAAATACTGAGGTAGCTTTAGGAGAAATTCACAACTACTCCTTTTTAATTTGTACTTTTTCCCACCTTCAGAAGGCCTTTTTCTGTCCCATAGAGTCACCACTCCTTGCACGGGAGACTATTTAAATCTCTTTAATCGATTTTTTTATTCATAAATGCATTTGCTTTGCAGGAGTTGTCCGTCCATCATGTTGCGTCACCGGTGGTGGCTGAGCTGAGATTCCTGCGTCTTGGGGAGAGCATGTATAAAAGGGATGGCCTCATGGCCAATGTGACGGTGACCTCCGCCACTCCAGAGGTATACGAACATGTTTATTTTCATTACTAGCTACTTCTTCAGAACAGAAGTTGTAGCTTATTTTGGCTTCCATAGAAATCTTTTCTACCAGATTCATTTCTTAGGAAGAGGATGGATTGTGACAGCAAAGTCAGCTTGGATGCTGTCATTCTGAGCATTCACAGCCCATCCAGAATTATTTTTTCCATGCTTTTCACAGTTGTTATAACAAGCAGATAGATCTAAAGTGGTCTTTGTTTATTTGCTGAAGTCCTTTATTTCAACTCACAAGTATAGCTACACAGCCCAAATAAGGGAATGCTAAGTCCCATCCAAACAGTTGGTTGGAAAAAATGGTGACTACGTTTTCAGTGGAATTAGTCAATTCATCTAAAACAATATATTGTGTAGACATGGTTTGATTTTGATTCAGTTTTTCTAGAAGCCAAGTGGACCTGTCGTGCAACTTGCAATAATTGTCCAGTTTCCTGCTAGATCATCTAGCTTGGGCTCCCCGCTCCAGTGCAGCCAGGGCTTCCAGGGTGTGTAGCTCTAGGCAGACTGCCCTGGAATTCGAGATCTTGGGCGTCTTTCCCTTTCATGGAGACTACTGAATGTTTGAGTTTTGTGCTGAACCAAAAGAGCAGTAAATTTCAAAACACCAGATGTGTTTTGAGTATCTGAAAATTAAAACTTAAGCTTTGAGAAATTATTCTGGTTTTAGGCCCTTTTCCTGTCAAAAACGCTTTGATTTGAAAACTTTGAATCAGTTTTACAAGTTGAAAAGCAAAGCCTTTAAAACCAGCTGGCCCTCTTAGCCAAGTATAAAATCTTTTAAATAGCAGTGGCTCCTTTTATACACAATTTAATCTTAATCAGAGAAGAGAAACACTTTGAGATCTTGGTCTCCATGATTCTGTTCAGCTGGTTAAGGAGTGAACTGAATGGCTTCAAAGGGGCTTTTTCTTTAAAAAAAAAATAATTAAAAAAAAAAAATCCACCAAGATAAGATGCAAAAGATCACAGGGCCAAAGCCTGTGGACACTAACACAATCCATTTTTTATCCTTCCAGGAAAGAACTTTAAAAAGTATTGGTCAAAACACAATTTTATATTGCTGTTCTAAATTGTTAAAAAAAAAGCTTCCCCGTAAAACGCTGTAGAAAGGAAATAATCATAATAAATCTTGGTTTTGGAACTAATAAAACAAAATGTATACGTGGCTCTAGGATAACGTCATTATTTTATTTTCTTCAGTTTGTAATCATTAAGCTAACATGTCCAGAATAATCATGAGATTCAAAATACTTATTTTTAGGACAACTTTTAATTTATTAGAATTTAGAAATGAATTGATTATCTTAAATTTTTAAATTTAAGCTTTTCAAGATGGATTGTGTGGTAAAACGCTGAAGCTAATGCATGTTTTTCCACATCAAGTAGAGTTCCCTGCTCTGTGCAAACTGGAACGGAACCTTAAGTGCATCGTCGCAGTCGCTGTATCATAGCGCCTCGAGAATAATCATGCCCTCACTTCGGGGAGTGAAGTGATAGGTCTCTTGCATTTCTTAAGATATAATTCCGTAAGCTCGGTGACCCGCTGTATCTGGTCATACTGTTTCCCTTTTGTTTTCTTGGAACGACCCCATAGTTTTGTTTATGAACGTCTGTCGTACCCTCTGGTAGTTACTTCAGCCTTCAAGAGAAACACAGCAGTGAGCTGCTCGATATTATCATGTTAAAGGCCCTACAAAACATCCAAAATTCACATGCCAGAATTCAGACTCAAGAGTTCATTCTCAAAGGAACATGCTGCAGTTACATCAACTTGAATTTCGTAGTAGTAATTACCCTGCTTTGTCACATTTATAAACTGAACTTTTTTTATTCAGGGCTATTACATTCCTTTTCTTCTAACAGTAGGCCAGGCTCTAAAAGGTCTTTATTCAAAGACACACTTATGAGACGGAGGCTTTCCAGTGCCTTTTCCTTGTCTGGATCCTCCAATACTTCACACATTTGGGTTATTGATACTATTAGGTTTGGAATCTTAAAGGAGGGTAGAGCTATATTTTATAGTCCACCCTTCCCAAAAAAGGCTCAGGGCAACTTACAGTAAAAAACAAAATAACTTTAAAAAGCAGATAAAATATTAAATAAGATGGGGACTTTCTTCTGTTGGCTCGGTGTCAATTATGGAGTCCAAAGTGTGTACTCTTCTGCCATCTTCAAAAGGAAAAGGCAGTAGGCAGCTTTAGAGATCTTTTGAAAGAAACCACGTATTTTTCTACAGATGCACACCTCTTGAAGTCTTTGCATTTTCCCAATCCAAGTTAATTAAGCTTCAGAAAATACAGGCCAGATTCTTGGACTGCATCTACACTTGGAAGAAAATTGGAAGCATAATTCATCACCAGTGCGGTGACATGAATGGTAGCAACAGTAGAAACAGTTGTATACACAAGGCTCTGACTTTTTTAAAACAAAACTTTTGCTACTGTCGGCAGATTTTTTTTTTTTTTTTTTTTTTTTTTACCAGAAAATTGTCCGGTTTTTTGGGGGGTTTTTTTAGTGCAGACAAAGCCTTGTGATGATCACTCAGAGTGATGGAGACAGAGGGCAGGTAGGTCACAGCTTATGGGTTGTTCTTAGCAGCAGGTTGCAATTGAAGCCACGGCCTTTGGTATATAGCTGTGGGCGCAGTTGGAACATCTTTTCTGGCTAGGCATACATTGGCTATTGGGAAGGTTGTGAACTCTAAAGAAATCTGCCTATGCTGGTACTTGCATGCTCCTGCAAACGTTGATGAATTCATCTCCAAAGTTTCCCCCTAAAGTAGAGAAGCATTATCCACATTTTGCAAGTGAGGAACTGCAGCGCAGAGCAGCTCTTAAGCAATTTGTTGTCCCTGGTCATCCTGGAAATTTGTGGTAGAGTAAGTGACAGAGCGTGGATCCCCTGAGTCCTGGGGCAGCGTCTTATCTGTAGAACTATACTTTTTCACTTGGTTCAGAGTAAGATATCACTGCTTATAGTGAATGAATCGTGGTGCAGACTAGGGAGCTGTTACTCTCTTCGTTATCCAGCAGTGCAGTATTTGAATTGGGCAAGGAAAATGACTTCTTAATTCTTTGTCAGGTTTTCAGCTAATGTACATACTCTGTAATGGTCTCTGCCTTACTTTTAAAGACTGAAGTTTTAAGTGCAAAAAGAGAGGAATACTAAATTGGGAGTTAGACTGGATCCATTCCAACCTCATGATTCTTCCTGTGAGATTTGTGTCATTTTCACCTGTTTGGAGGTGTTTTTTACCTCTGCTCCTAGCCAAGCCAAAGCTGTTCACATCTATCTGAGTGTTGTCATTTTGAGGATTCAATGATTTTATTATTGATTAATGTTAGCAACTTGCCTAGGGTTGCACAGGAAGTTTGTGGTAGACTTGAAATTAAACACGGATCTCCTGATTCCTAGTACAGTGCTGTAACCACAAGACCGTCCTCTAACAGTGTTGTATAACCATTTCTAAAATGACTTTTTGAATTAACTGTAGTTGCTGAATAAGATGATTATACAAGATGCCAAACAAATGCAGGGCAATAAGCATGGGTCTTCCATTTTTTTGAACACGGTGGAAATTCTAACCACAGGGTACACAGTCACCAGTCTCTGTCCTCTTTCAGTTTTGTAGAATATAATGACTGCATTTTTCAAGGCCTGTAATTAATGATGCAGGATTATTTAAATGAGCTGGTTTGTTACTACCCAAAGTTGACCTCACAGTTCTGTTGTTGACCTTTTTGGTTTCCTTACTGGCTTGAATATACTGTAAATTCCAGTAACTCTGTGGACAGTTTTTTTCCAGACACTACCATCTTGGGAAGGCTAAAATAAGTAGGAATCAATAAAAAGTATATATCAGAATTTCTGGTACATGATGATATTTCCAGGTTCATGAGGTTGGAAGAAGCCACAAAAACTTAACACATCCGTATAGGTGAAATAAAGAAGTTTATTAATCAAAATAACCCTTTGATTCAGTGTAGATTCAAAGTACTCAAACATTTAGATTAATTTGAGACCATTTTATCAGCCGCAAGGAGACTCTAGTCCTTGAGACTTGCAATACATGGTTTCCTCTATAGAGAAATGGGATTTTGACTCTTGTGAAGTGTAGTGTTCACTGTAATCCTGTTAACACACATTGTTCTAGTAGCATTTCACCATAGTCTCCAATGAGCCTGTCTCTCCCCTCATTGTCTCCTGAACAGGCAAAATGTTAACAAACAAGATGCTTGGCAATGTACTTGACAAATACAAAAAATATAGTCCATATCCCAAAGAGCTTATTAGCGATTCTTCTCAACCTTCCAGTCTGCCCCTGTGCAACACAAGCACAAATGAAAATGACAAGTGACCAAAATGGAACATCTCAGTTTTGCTGTCTGTCATCATTAGGAAATGCCAATGTGGGCAAACTATAAAACTAGCCTAGTCTAGTGACATAGGGTATACATGGAGGACTACAGTGTTTCAAGCTGAAAGATATATTATAGATGGGACTTGAGTTTGCAGTGTTAGAAACCTTAATGCTATTATTATGACTGCCTAAAATGACCTTTTAAACCTGCTATTGTCATTCAAGGAAAGCGGAGCAAATACTTGATTGCCTTCTAAGGTAGTAGAGTTGGGCCATGCCCCATAACAGCGTTTGTGAAAGGCACAAAAATATAAATACCAGTCATTGAAAGATGAGGTCAAAACTTCTGGTATTCTGGCTCATCCAAGTGACCCTTCCCTAGACAACTGAAATATGGAATTTTATACTTGTGAACACGTGCTGTCTAACATAAAAAATGAGTAGAATGGGACCATTACTTTTTTTATGTAGGCTTACTGCTAGTGATGAATTGCAGGAAGGAACAAGTTCACTAGGTGGAGTAGACAGAACTGTTGCAGAGCTTTGAAATCAAGAATGTGAAGATTAAATGCCGATGTAGTGGGTGACAGTGTAGGCATTCAGAAGTCGGTTGATTTGTCGAGCACTGTAGGCTAGGCATTGAGCTGGGAGGTAAATGACGGATGATCAGGACATAAATAAGCACTGGGGTTGCATTTAGGTTGGGACAGGTTTTGGATTGTCAATAGGCTATTACTCATGCAGAACTTAGTTTTTGGTTTCTCTGGGATGGTTTGGAGAGGGCTGATCCGGCCTCAGGCAGGGGCTTGGACTAGATGTGACCCCTGGAGGTCCTTTCCAGCCCTACTTCTCTGTGACTCTAAAGCAGCAGCAAAGTTTAGACATGGCACCTCTCCCCTTTTCCCCACATTTCTAGGTTTCCAAGTTAAAGGTATCCCATTGATTGTGAACTCAGAAGTCCCAGGTGATTTCTCTTTATTTGATATGGTTTTTGCCTAATTTGCTAATTTTAATTTTTTTTTCAGTAAAAACTTTATACAACTTGCATTCTGTTACAAAAAAGATGTCCTATTCTCCTCCCCCCCTGCATTTTAGAACTAAGTGCCAGTATTGATTAACCTTTGTTTAATACAAGTACAGAAAAAATATGCAGCTGATATTCATGTGACACATTAGACTAAATATGTTCAAAGAACAGAATTTCAGTAAAACGTGACAGTTCTTTATGAAGTCTGTTTGCTGGACGGTTCTTATAAAAGTTATTTTTATGCATCAGTATAATTCTCTTTTTGTTTTTATTGAAATCTATAATTTTTCCAGATAACCCTCCTATATTTTTTTTTTCTTTTTGAAGGGTAGTAGCAGCTCTGACTCTCTGGAGGGACGGAGCTCGGACTATGCCAATAAAAGCTATGATGCGGTTGTATTTGACGTATTGAAAGTAACTCCTGAGGAGTTTGCTGTAAGTAAAAAATATTATTTCTGAATTTATTCTTGTGGAATATTTGAGACTAGCAGGGTATAAAAATAGCATAAAACATTTCTTTTTTCTGTCTTAGAATAAAACCTTTTAAGCGAGTCAACTTTCAGCACTCTGAGGCAAGTTTCTGACCATATACATTTTGAGCCAGAAGCTTCAACATTGAAGTATTCATCACTGAGCTGATTCAGCATTTGGGGATTTTGAGGTTTAAGAGAAACTACGAAGTTGTTTGGATTTCCTCCAAAATTCTAAAATGGTTTTTAAGATGCTGATGAATGTCCACAGTCTTTTAGGATACGACACTCGGTGAGGCAGACACAGCCCTCCTCACTAGCCTTTTCTTAACTGGTCATCTACTAGCACAGTTTTTCACTTTCCTACAGAAGCAGGTATTTCTCAGAAACCAGGGATGAAGACTTGCTAGGCAAAGGGCATCAGGTCAGACTGAAAGCAAAAGTTCTTTGCTAGCAAGGGCCCAATATAGCTCTTGTATTGTTTGGCTGCTTGCTTCAGATTTAAACATTTGCATATTTAATAATCTCTGCCAGAAAACATAAAGGTGAAAGAGCGAGGGGTAGTGAAATGGACTCCAAATTTGCATAATTGTTCCAAGCCCCCTGAACAGTGTGACAGGACCTAAAATGGATTGGTACCTCAAGGCTTTGGCTCCTAAAATGCCATGTTTGGAAGCAAGTGCCCTATAACATTGGAGCCGTGTCACCATTACTTCTGTGATTTTGTCATTTTGCAATAAATCTTGATAGTCTGTCTTCCTGCACCAAATCATCATACAAGTGTGAGGACCAAAGCTGGATATAAAATATTAAAATAGCTGCAACAGTTTAGTTTACAAAAGGACTTGAGATGTCTGCTTAAAACAGAATGAGCAAGCGCTAAAGAATTAGCTTCAACATTTAATAGAGTGAAGTTTGAAACAGTTAATAAAAGTGTACAATTAAAAATTAGCAAGCATTTGATCCTTTCAAGAAGGAACTGGAATCAAGCCCTCAGACAGGTCAGGACACAGCCATTTTAAGATGATCACACAGCATTAATTAATTTCACCATTTTTTCCATGCTAGCAAAACTCCATCTTTTTTGGTAATTTCAGTAGAAGAATATTCTGATGGTCACGAGTCTTCTAACCCAGATGTCTTAAAAAGTATTACAAGGTTTCTTCCCTCTGCCTTACCACCAAATGAGATGTCATCCACAACCATGAATAAAAGTTCAGCAACTAAAGTAGAAAGGGCCTCTGTGGGATTTGCAAAGATACCTAAAGCAAATCCCATTTACTAAATGCAATTTTTTTTAAAGCACAGGCAGGAAAACTTTTAAAACTAAAACAAACACAAAACCTCTTAGTTTGAGGCATTCTCTGATGCCCTCTTGTGCTCTGCTCATACCCCTTTACTTGAATACCGTGGTCTACAGCAGTGCTTCTCAAAGTGGTGATCCGCGGACCGCTGCCGGTCCGCAAGTCACCGGTTGCCGGTCTGCAGCAAGTTGCCAGGAAAGAAAGAAATATATTTTCAGAAGCATAACATTGATATGTCATGGCGCCACAGTTCATACGTTCCAACACTCCAGGTGACGTCACGTCATGCGAGGTGAGGAAAGAGAAAGAAACAGCCGGTCGCGCATTTGTGCAGTGCTGTTACATGCAGTTGCTGCCACCGGCTGAACCAGGCACTGGTCCTTGGCCCACTGGAAAAAAAAATTGCCAGTCCACTACATCGGATAGTTTGAGAAGCACTGATGTACAGGACTGGTGGCAACTGAAATATCTCTGCTGGTTCTGATCCCAGCAGAGAACTAGATAATTATATCTTTACTATAATTAATAATAGCCAGTAAATTACAGATTACTTTTTCACTACATTGACTTCAGGCATGTACTATTCCCTTTGTTAAGTATTTCAAGTAACTTGAATTAATATAATTTAACTGAGGAAGCTATCAAAGCAAGCCCAGAGGGTCTGGTCTGATTGTTGGCAGTACTGTGCGAAATAAACCCATGGCATTGTAAGTCAACGGAGGCTAGAATTGCTGTGTTACAGTTAGATTCCCAGGGAAATGGAGTGCAACCAAGTAAAGGTCATTTCCTAAAGTTGAGCAATTTCTTTTAAAAACATAAAATGTGAAACAGCATGAGAGAGGAAATTTCTCATACTGGTGAGTTCTTGCCAGTAGAGAAAATAGGCATTCGCCTTGGATAATAGCCATTACAAGATGCAAATGAACCCTTTGTGGGCAAAACTTCTCAGTAAGAAGCATTGCAGAGTGCAGTAACCTGCTGACATGGGGGCTGACCACCTTAGCTGTTGGTTTTCAGGGGAGGACAAGAATATCACCAAAAAGCTTAACTTCTCTGATTATGCAGTGAATCTGCTCATGGGGAAAGTGTTGGCCAGATGCATGAGTCAGAGCTTCTGGAAGGCTGCACCCACCAGTAACAAGCAGATGGAAAAATGTAATAGTTTTCTTTTTACACTAAATGATTTTTAATCTTACTGTTGCAGAGCCAGATTACATTAATGGATATGCCAGTATTTAAAGCTATACAGCCAGAGGTATGTTTTCTTAATCTAACTGTTAATGTATGTGGTGTGTTGGGGTATAATGGACTGATCAGATAGATAATTTGTTGCCTTTAAATGTGAATGAAGATATTAATCTTGTGAACGTATGTAAACACTGAACGATAGTTCTTGGGCCTGCACATTCTGGATGCCTCTTAACATAACCAGAATAGACCAGAGAGGTAGATGACACTTGCATTCAATGCATTTCACTTCAGTTTCTTAAGCTCATGCTTCAAGACACCCACATGCATGAGCAGAGCTTAGCTTCTTTTCATGATGCATTCCAAATCTCGTTCTGGAAGATCAGGCAAGCGTGCTAACTTTCCTGCACAGCTGTCAGCTTTTCTGTGGAAGGCTTTGGCAGTCTGGGGAAACCTGGTAGACCCTGCCCTCGAGGACCCTTGAAAAAACAAGGTTTTGTTACAAGGGTCTCATAGGTAATTAGAGTTCAGTTCCTCTGAAAACTGTCAGCATGGTGCTGGTAAGAAATGTGTGCTGAAGTGCAAGCCACTCGTGCTGAATTCATGTGACATTTGTTTGACATTCACTCTTGATCTGGTGGATCTCTCTACAGACAGGAGAGAGTCTGTTCTGGTTCTGTCGATTATAACTTTTTCTCTTGTACCTGCTATTTAGTTGTCAGCAGCGTGCTGTGATGATAGGACCTAGAAAAATGATGTTAAGTCAGGCACTCATTCTGCTGGGCACACGGAGGCATAGCTAGCAAGTATGGTATTCGTAGCAAAACCCCACTGGGAGATTGGGGGTGGCGTGGAGTGGTGAGGATTAATCTCACCTGCCCCAGGAACTCAAGTTCTCCATTGCTACTGGCGTGGAGCCACTGCCATCGCTATTATACTTGGGGTGCAGAGCTGGTGCAGCACCACAAAATAGAAGTATTTTTACAGAAGTTAGTCTTGGGAGAAAGATCTTGCAACATATCTCTGTAGGAAATATCCCTTCTTTTGACTTTTTGGTAGTTTGATTGGCAAGGAGGACAAACCCAGTTGACACGTCAGTTTTGAAAAGGATTTAAACATTTTTGACTGAAGGTCCTTTGCATCCTTTTGAAGATCTTCAGAGAAAAGGAGCATGTGTGCTACTGCCTTTGGCTAACGTCTGTAAAAATAAAATTTCTCAATTTTGGCTACAGGGATCACCAAAAGGCCAGCATTTTCCAAGTTTTCCACATTGTGGTAGGTGAGATTACAGGAGTTTTTTCCTACATTTAGAATAAGAAGTTTGTAGAGGTGCACCGATGCATCAGTCTGATATTGGATTGGCACCGATATAAAGAAAACTGAGCGTATCGGAAATCGGCCTGATGGGGCTGATAATTTGGCTGATAAATGCCCGTGCACGAGTGCAGCCACAGCGCAGCATGTAGGCAACGAGGAGCACAGTCCAACAGCTTGGAGAGCTGCATGCAGCTGGTAAGTCTGTTGTGGTGGCAGGGGGGGGGGGGGGGAAGGGGCATGGGAGTGCACATCTGCACCCGGGCAGGGAGGGAGGGAGTGGTGCAGGAGCTGTGCTGCTGCCGCGCCCGCCTGCCCCCGCCCCCGTGCCGCTCGGATGAGCCATGGCTCTGTCCGCCACCCTGCCACAGCCGGGCACCACCAGTCCCTGCCCACTCCTCCCTCACCACAGGGGCCTTGATCTGCCCCCCCCTTTCCCCCATCTCTTCCCTCCTCTCATCCCCTTCCACCGCAATAGACTTACCAGCTGCACACAGCTGTCCACGCTGTATCAGAAATCAGATCAGCTTCAGCCGATATGCCTCCTTAAAAATCGGATACCGGTATCCGCCCCAGAAATCTGTATCAGTGCACCCCTAGAAGTCTGTGCATTAATAGTTGGCAAATGTTGACCTTCTTTAAATACATTTTAATTGCTTAATAAGCTGGGATACCTATGCTCCTACTAATAAAAACTTCCTTTTGAGTTTCTAAAAATTACATCATAATTTTCTAATATAATACTATATTCCATTTGGTAATTTGATGTTACACCTTTTTCCAACAGACAGAGGTAACTGACCCCTGAGCTAAGTGTTTGGATAGCCCAAGCACAGGTGGTGATGACGCACCAAAAAAACACACACCTTGATTTTGGAAGGCAGAACATGGAGAAAAAGATATTTCCAGAGTCATGGCTGACTGTATGACATGGAGTTAGAGGTAGCAGGAACTCCCCGGTGTGGCAGACTGTCTCCTGGGATGCCACACTTCCTGGACACTGTGTTTCCTGGGAGGACTCTTACAATGGCAGTAGCAAGGCTGTTACTTCTTTAATCTAAATAGTACTTTGTCTAAGTACCTGTAAATAAAGTGCTGTTTCCACATCATACACCTTATCAGGATACTGCCAGCAGCTCACTTTCTGCTACATGCACAGGCATACAATACTTGGCCAGTAGCTACTTCTGAAAGAGAGTCAACACAGGACTCTGCTTCTTCAGCTTTCTAAACCAAACACAAGTGGCAACCAACTGTCTTGACAGCCGCATGGCATGAACAGTATTTCGAGGCATGCATGAAAGCAAACAAAATAGCTTCCTTGTTTAATACACTCAGCCCAATTTGGGGTGGGTAGGAGGGATGGTTTTGGCAGGACTAGGTGCATGTTGTATGTGAGAAAATATAGCATAGATGGGAGACTTCAAGATGATTGGCATCCTGAAGCTGAAAACACCTACAAGCACTAGGAAAGACCATAAGGAAAGAGTTAAGAATCTGAATAACAATATGATGGGGCATAAGCAAACTTCACTAAATGTCCCAAAATCCCAATTCTGTAATTGCATAGGAAAGCTTGATTGGCTAAAATAACATCTTAGTTAGAAAAGGTAATAAAAGGGGCAATACATGAAAATGTATAACAAGTAGAAAATGAGGGAGATTTGATAACAGTGACTATAAATCAGTAGTCATTAAATTCAGGTAAATGTTAAAAGAAGCGTGAAGGTGTAAAATCTACATCTAGTAAGGTTAAACCCACCATGGTCAAATAGTTATGTTCAAAACATTTTAAACTGAACTGAAGAGCATTCTGAGCATTGATGTTGCTATTTAACAATATTGGAACACTGGTGGCGTCCCAGACATTAGTCTTTTTTCAGTTGTAAAGCAAGCCAGTTAGCTTAACCTTGATCCCAGATAAAATCATGTAAAGATGAAAGCAGGATGCAGTTAGTAACCATTACTGAATCAAGGATGGCATGTAGTGCCAGTAAAGCAAGGTTACTGGAAAATAGGGTCTTTGGAGACTTGATTAGCATTTCTGATGAGTTCTTCAGTTTGCTTGGCACAGGTAAGTGGCTTGAAGGAAGGCTCAGTTAAGGCATCGGAATATGCACTGCCTGACTTTCTGATTAAAAGAAGAGAGCAGTCCTGCAGTTCTTAGCCTAATACCATTCACTTTCTCAAACAATGATTGTTGTTAACAACGTTTGCAGATGACCCAAAAGTTAATACATGGCAAATAAGGATGGTCACTTCCAGTGAGCTACCTGGTTTGCACTACAAACTATGCTTCCTTGAATACCATGCATTTTAATACAGCTAAATACTAGATCATACATCTAGGAACCAAGAAGATAGGTTATGCTTAAGAGGGAGCACTGTATTCTGGCAAGAGGTCACTTGAAAAAGAATTTCAGGTTATGGTAGATAAGCAGCTGAACATGAACTTTGGCATGGTTGAGAAAGCGAGTGTAATCACATGGAACTGGGTAGGTGTTACTGCTGCATACAGAATTAATGAGACCATTACTGGAATATTTCCAGTTCTGGACTCCACACTTCAAAAATATGATGACAGATTGGAAAGTATACAACAGAAAACTATGCGAATGACATAAGGCCTGGAAGTCTTGACAGCAAAATATTGAAGAAACGCAGTCTATTTAGCTTAAAGAAAAGTTTGAGGTGATTTTGTTCATGGTCTGTAAGTATTTACAGAGGGAAAGGAGAAAATGAGAACTCACAACTGTAGAGAATTTTTTTAAAGAAATCCCTTCTTTTATCACTTTTTAGAAAATTGAAAAGATTGTGTTAGCTGTCTTTTTTTGAGGGTAACAGAAAAAGCAAATTCAAATATTCCAGAGATGGTGTTGTAGACTGATCCCTTTTTTTGAAAGAAAAAACTAAATGAGCGTGCGTAGAAGGGTAGAGAAAAGAACAGCACATACAGAAAATGCAACTTCTGATTCTGTGAATATCATTAATTGCCTATAGCTCATTGATCTGCCTAAACTTTTGAAACCCTTTGATTTTGCATGAATTTAAGGGTATTTACTAACACCTCCCTCCCATACATACACATCTGTGAGTCTGTAAATGGCAGATGTTTTTCCTTTTTCAGTTTCATAGTGGCTTACTCTGCGTTGGGTTATGGAGTGTGAAAGTGGTATGACCTGAGAGAGGAAATATTATTAAAAGTGGCTAATAGGGTGTATTTAAGCAATATTACTTGGATATACACTTAATTGAGTGAGAATTATTGAAATGTTCTGTTTTGCCACTAATGTCTATATACTGTCAGCAGATTAGGACGTCGTTCACAAGTGTCGTCCTCGTTGAGTTTTAAATTTGTGTGACAGATGACAGAAAATGGAAATGTGGTTTGACATTACTTTTTTTTTAAAACAAAAATGGTTTGATTCAGTCCTGTTTTGGAAGCCAAAATAGCTTCTGAAAACACTGATCTTCTAGGAAGTCATGTAGACGATGAGTAAAGGTTTGGCAGGGTGAAAGGAAAATGGACGTTTGCAAACATCACACATAGCTGCCCTGTTCCCTGATGATTATAATAAGTGACTAATTTTATCAAGACTTGGCCCATTAATGCAGACACAGCTTGGCAATATAATTGCTCTCAGCTGTGTTTAACTTAAAAAGTATATGAAATTGATTCTTGGTCCCATTAGGGCTGTAACAGATAACATCGCTAAAGGTGAGAATTGACTACACACTATTATAATATCACTC